ACACTTCGACGCCGAGATCGCATACCATCCACGCCACCTGTGATTCTTCTGAACCGCGGGTCCATCAGGGAGCCCGCTCGATAAACGGCACCGATCGCTTTATACAGCCTATGTCATAATCAATAGATAGGTCATTTCTTCCCTGCTGGCGGTTGGACGAACAAGTCCAGTTGCTAATCTGCTACTTTCTCTGTCCCCCCCCCCCCCATATTCCTGCCAATCACTCTCATCAAGGCAGGACATAACAGCAAAGGGAGATTAGACGTGAGGGCAAGACAGCACATATGATGATGGCTGTCTCTTGACTGCCTGGTAATATATTCAACTTGTTAGTGAATATGCAATCCTTAACTTTCTCGCGTTTTTTTCATTGGTTCCAAAACTATTAGATTCATTTCTTGCACCAAACTGCGCTTTCGTCTGTGTGTACTGTACGTTGTTTTGAAGAATCAGTGGTTGTGGTAAGTATTTTAGCCCCAAAAGTAGCAAGATTGTACGGAGGCAGTCCGAGGGATCATACATGAACTACACAAACTGGTGAGTCACTGGCGTGTCACGACGCCGGCTTAACGTCATGTCACTGTAATTGCTTGTCTGTCAGATGACGTGTAATCTCCTTAGCAGCGAGCGGAGTTCCATATCGAAACGGGAGGCCCACAATAAGAAGCGAAACGTCCTATGGCATCTTGAAAGGCAAAAGTCAACAAAAGTGAAAATAATATCTGCACCTCAACTTTCATGCCTCATACAGTGCAGCGAGATGCGGCACGAACGACTCCCTAATTACGCTGCTGGACACAATTTTTTGACACTGTGCTGTCATTCCAAGGAGTGGGAACGCAAGCTGGTTGATCAGACGGGCTTTCTGCAGCATTGCAATGGTAACAATGTGTCAGCTCATCATTCCATTAACATGAGAAATTTACAACTTTAACTTGCGACGAGGCTGACGAGTTTCGAATCGGAACTGACTATTGCTCTGGGTACCCGGGTTTGCGGCGCAGAGCCGACATAAGTTGACATAGGAGAGACGGATAATCGTAGATGCATGCAGCTGGTTACGTGCTGCCTGAGCGCAAGCCAAGGAACTGCCCCCTGCATGGTGTTGCCAGACCCTAGTGTTTTTGAGGATCGCTACCAGATCTCGAAAGACAAAAACAAAAACAAAACAAAAAACTTGAAAAGAAACACAGCACCCTCGTTATGGGCTGCATGGGCGCCAAATGACCACTGCAGTGGATGCTCCCGAAAACCATAACACAGAAAAGGTACCGGTATAGATGCTCAGCTCGTTTGCTGTTACCAACATCCACGAAAATAGTGTGTTTTCCGCAGTACGTTGATCGCATTCAGCGAAAACGTAAATGGTTCCAAATTCACTGGCATTGTCGATTCAACTGAACGAGTCTTGCCAGGCCCAATGTCAGCCAATTTTGAGGCAAGACCAGTTCTGAATTGCGTGTAAACACCATATATCGGAGCACCATACTGCTCCTAAAACCCATGGAATGTGGACATTGCAATGTTTTAACAGAACCTATTGAGACGAGTCCCCAAAGACGACTGGATCCATTCGGGTGCGTGTCGGTTATTGACACTATGCTAGCACGACTGTTATCCCCTCGCCCGTCCCATGCCGTTAAAGGCTTCTTACTGCTAAGCTGGCGCTGATCAGTACGTTTGAGTCTACACGTGCCGTAGTACGTTGAGTCCACACGTGCCGTAGTATGTTTGAGTCCACACGTGCCGTAGTATGTTGAGTCCACACGTGCCGTAGTATGTTTGAGTCCACACGTGCCGTAGCATAGCACCACCGCAGCGGATCATCTGTGCGCGTCCAGCGAAGGAGGCGTCGCGTGTCACCCCGTCGACGCTTCAGACGCACCAAATGGCCGATGGACCTCACACTCCGAGCCGCCCTCGTGGAGTGCAGCACACGCTGCCGCATCAAGCGGCCATCGTGCAGAGAGGCTCCAGCGCCCAGCCGAGCCGCTGTTGCGCGGAAGGCCGA